AGCCCCGACCAATGGGGATTTTCCACGTGTAAAATCATTATTGGCTGGAGGAAACACGTGTCAGCTCACCGTTGGGACAGATGTCATCCGCTCATTGGACAGAAGGCGCCTATGATACGGCGACACGTGGCACGGCCCAACAGAGGCCCATTCCTGTGAAAAGGCCGGCTCGTTTGACTTTGCAAAAGGTGGCGGGCCGGCCCACAGAAAGCCTATTAACGGCCTGTTCGCATATAGCCCATTTACAGCCCGCTAACCCAGGGCCCGTTCTGCCCTATCCGAATTAGGCCCAGTAGCGTCATCTGGGCCGTCCAATATGATTCCAACCCGTTTTAACTTCCGGCCCATGTGTGGCCCATGACTTCTTTCGGCCCATATGAGGCCCTTTGTAACTCTTGGCCCATTAACGGCCCGTGGTGAAACTGGCCCATAATGAACAGTGTATCACTTTATACCCATTAACGGTCAGTTATTCCATTGGGCCGTTTCCAGCCCAAGTAATCTTTCGGCCTTCTCAGGGCCCATTGATTCATGGGCTCATTTGCAGCATTCGGTTACACACGGCCTGTTACTGTCATTTTCTACTTGTGGGCCAAATTCAGCCCATTGTTACAGTCGGCCCGTTTGCGGGCCGTTAATACGTTGGGCCTTTTTCATGTAAAAAAACCGTTGGGCTTTTTCATAGAGTTATCAAATAGCCTATTAACGGCCCGTTATGGTCCACAAATAGTATGGCCCAGGATTGGCGAAATGATGATACGCCCCGTAGAAGGCCAATGGATCCTACGGCCCGTATGAGGCCCATGGATAGTACGGCTCGTAGAAGGCCCATGGATCGTACGGCCCGTAGAAGGCCCATGGACCCTGCGGCCCGCTGAAGGCCCATGGACCCTGTGGCCCGCTGAAGGCCCATGGACCCTGATACGTCTCCAACGTATCTATAATTTTTGATTGTTTCATGCTATTATGTTACCTGTTTTGGGTGTTTATGGGCTTTATTTTACACATTTATATCATTTTTGGGACTAACCTACTAACCGGAGGCCCAACCCGTATTGTTGTTTTTCTGCCTATTTCAGTATTTTGAAGAAAAGGAATATCAAATGGAGTCCAAACGGAATGAAACCTTCGGTAGCGTGATTTTTGGAACGAACATGATCCAGAGGACTTGGAGTGCAAGTCAAGAAGCAGCCGAGGCCTCCACGAGATAGGAGGGCGCGCCCCCCCTTTAGGGCGCGCCCCCCTGTCTCGTGGGCTCCTCGAGCGTCCACCGACGTACTTCTTCCTCCTATATAAGCCTACGTACCCCGAAAACATTCAGGGAGCAACCGAAAAACAATTTCCACCACCGTAACCTTCTGTATCCACGAGATCCCATCTTGGAGCCGTCGCCGGTGTTCTGCCGGAGGGGGAATCCACCACGGAGGGCTTCTACATCAACACCATAGCCCTTCCGATGAGTTGTGATTAGTTTACCATAGACCTTCGGGTCCATAGTTATTAGCTAGTTGGCTTCTTCTCTCTTTTTGAATCTCAATACAATGTTCTCCCCTCCCTTGTGGAGATCTATTCGATGTAATCTCTTTTTGCGGTGTGTTTGTCGAGATCCGATGAATTGTGGGTTTATGATCAGATTTATCTATGGATAATAATTGAATCTTCTCTGAATTCTTTTATATGATTGAGTTATCTTTGCAAGTCTCTTTGAATTATTGGTTTGGTTTGGCGTACTAGATTGATCTTTCTTGCCATGGGAGAAGTGCTTAGCTTTGGGTTCAATCTTGCGGTGTTCTTACCTAGTGACAGAAAGGGTTGCAAGACACGTATTGTATTGTTGCCATCAAGGATAAAAAGATGGGGTTTATATCATATTGCTTGAGTTTATCCCTCTACATCATGTCATCTTGCTTAATGTGTTACTTTGTTTTTATGAACTTAATACTCTAGATGCATGCTGGATAGCGGTCGATGTGTGGAGTAATAGTAGTAGATGCAGGCAGGAGTCGGTCTACTTGTTGCGTACGTGATGCCTATATACATGATCATGCCTAGATAACGTCATAATTATTTGCTTTTCTATCAATTGCTCGACAGTAATTTGTTCACCCTCCGTAATACTTATGCTTTTGAGAGAAGCCACTAGTGAAACCTATGGCCCCCGGGTCTATCTCTTATCATATTTGCTTCCAATCTACTTTTATTTGCATCTTTATTTTCTGCATCTATATTATAAAATATCAAAAAAAATATTTATCTCATCATATTATCTCTATCAGATCTCACTTTCGCAAGTGGCCGTGAAGGGATTGACAACCCCTTTGTCGCGTTGGTTGCGAGTTCTTTATTTGTTTGTGTAGGTTCGTGGGACTTGTTGAGAAGCCTCCTACTGGATTGATACCTTGGTTCTCAAAAATTGAGGGAAATACTTATGCTACTGTGCTGCATCACCCTTTCCTCTTCAAGGAAAACCAACGCAAGCTCAAGACGTAGCAAGAAGGATTTCTGGCGCCGTTGCCGGCGAGGTCTTCGCTCAAGTCAAGACATACCAAGTACCCATCACAAACTCATCTCCCTCGCATTTATATTATTTGCCATTTGCCTCTCGTTTTCCTCTCCCCCACTTCACCCTTGCCATTTTATTCGCCATCTCTTTTCCGTTCGTCCTTTTGTTTGCTAGTGTTACCATGTGCCTTCTATATGCTTGTATCTTCGCTTGCTGAAAATCTATTGATATGGATCCACTTAAAGTGTTCTACTTAGATCATCTTCGATCCTTATGCGCTCGTGCTGAAACCCCAACTAGCCTAGTTGATGAGAAATCTTTAGATGAGCATGCTCATTTTGTGCGTCATCATTTGTCTGAAAAAGGGAAGGTCTTATGGTATCATATAAATAGTTTGCTATGCTATGCTTGGAATCTTTGTGAAATTTGTGATTTTACTTGTTGCTCTAAGAACCCTAAAAAACACCTTCCATACCTATGTGAGTTCAATGATAATGAAATCTTATCTTCTTATGCAAAGGGTGTTTATAGTTACTATGATATCGAACAAATTGTAGAATTTGTCGTTTTTAAGGGTGCTCATGAAGTTGCTTCTTTGATTGAAAAGTATGATTTTACTCTCAACAGGCCTCAAAATTCCGTCATACTTAAATATTGCTATAAAAACTATGCTCATAATGTCTATGTCAAAGAATTTATTGAAAGAATGAATGGTGCCTCGGATGAAAATAATGATATGCATGAATCTATAGATGATGATTCCGATGATTTGATTGAAATATCCCTTGATGAACATGATGCCTGCTATTCTTGTGACCATGATGCCAATATTTATGAAGATCACTTTTCTATAGTTCCTTATGTTAAACATGAGATCGTTGCTATTGCACCCATACTTGGTAGCTCCTTGAATAAAAAGCATGATTGCAATGATTTTACTATAAATTATCTTGATGTCAATTGTGCTAATAATATGCAAAAACCTAAGCTTGGGGATGCTAGTTTTGCTATGTCTACTACTTGTTGCAATGATCATGATTGGGGTGATTCTTTTTATGATCTTGAAAATTTATTTAAGCCCCATGATGAATATGAGATTGATAATAGTGTTTGCAATATTATTGAAAGTGGGTTTGGAAGAGTGTCAACTTTAGATCCCACATATTTGGATTTTGATCAATCTTATGAAATTTTTGATAAAAGTGGGTTTTGAGAGGTCATGACTTTAGTTAATGATAATACCATTATTTTGAAAGAGTGTCAACTTTGCATGCATGTGGATCGTGTTGAAAATATTTTATGTGATAGCTATTTTGTGGCGATCGGATCAGGGATGTAGATTGCGCAAAAATCATCACCATCATGTGGACGATCTGGCATTCCCGGAACCGGATCAAACATGGGGAAGAGGGGAGAGACCCAACAGCCGCGATTAGATCTACCCGGGAGGCCCTAGCGTTGCTGGAGCTACCATGCAATGAAGCGATTGTGTTACCAGGTCATGGACGGAGGCCCCCCGAATCAGGTATGACCAAGATATCTTGCGATGGAGCACTCAATGTGGCAGAGGGTCGAGAAGGAGCGGGTGGCATAGCCCGGTCCGCATCAAAGCTACTAGGAGCTTGGTGCAAGCCATTCGGTGACATATCCGATCCTCTGATAATGGAAGCCTTATCAATGCGAGAAGGAACGCTCTTTGCAAAACTTTGAGGCCAATCGCATGTGATAATGGAGACTGACTGTCAGGAGTTAGTGCAACTCTGGCATACACGCCACAATTCACGTTCGATTGTGGCTCCTATCCTAGATGAAATAGGAGAGCTTAGTTATGAGTTTTCTGTTTTTGAGATTTAACATGTAAACAGGTCAGCAAACTTACTGGCACATCTAAACGTGCATGCACATTGAATGTGACCGAATGTTGGCTTGAGGAGACCCCTAATTTTCTAGTAACCAGCCTTTTGGCTGATTGCCCAGGGAACACTTTTGTTGAATAAAGCTCTCTGATTTGCCCGTAAAAAAAAGAGTCAAGCGACAATAACGCTGTGACATATTTGACGAATACATCAACAAAATTACTATGGTGAGAGCTGCTGGCATCATTTTCAACTCTCGTCGTTCGCAGAGCAACACTTGCCATTGACTCCATGATTGCCCAACAAAAGTTAGCAGCGTCATTGGTTGATTTCCTGAAGTAATTTCAATGTCATCAGCCTGAAGCTTCTCCTTCCACAGCTTTCTCCAGTGCCGCAACAGAATGATATGAGATAATTGCAGGGCAGGACGACCAATAAGCTTGAAAAATAAATATCAGATCATTGCAAGCTAGCCACGTGAATCAAAACGGATCCGACTTCACTTTTTTTGGATCCCAGTAATCACCACATACGGCGGTGAGTTGCTAAACTCCGGTTCACCTTGAACCTCCTGCTAGCGATCTTAAGCAAAAACGTTTAACCTAGTTAATTCAAAACAGATCAACCTTGCAGCTATCATATCATGGGATGGAAGGCATGATCCACACTGGCGGCGGCGACAAGAATCGGCATCTGCGGTACTCTTGCTCAAGCGCCTCCATCTTCTTCATTGTGCCGTCCTTGAGGCTGTACACCCCAACGGAGCGAACGTCAGACTCATCATCATCCTCAGAGCCGTGGGACCGCGAGGACAACTCATTGCGAAAGCGAAACATTGCATCCCCAAGTCTGTCGTCGGTGAAATAGATGCAGCCAGCCTCAATCTCCGGGCGTCCCCTCGTCGGGACACACAGCGAGTTGTTCACTCCAATGAACGGCGCGACGTGGCCGATGTCCCTTGTCTCATTCCACTGCCCGTCGTCCCCGAGGACATGGACCTTGAAGGAACACGTCCACCGGCCCTGACCATACTGCTTCTTCGTCACATGGCCGTACTTGAGCACCACCATCAGCCGCCCATCTGGCGCCACCGCCAGGTACTTGAGAGGGCACGTCGAGCTGCCTTCTTCGATAGTCAGCCTTGACGCGACAGCCGTGCTTTTGTACTGGCCGGATTCCGGGTCACGCTGCCAGGCCTCGACGACGCCGGAGTAGGAGATGGAGTAAAACTGGCCATCGTGGTGGATGGCGTCCTCGACTCCGTCTTCCGACCGCGCCAGCTTCCACACGCCAGCCTCCGCAGTGGCAAAGGCCGGGGCGCCAAAAAGTCGCTCCAGAATCAGCATGGCGGTGCCGTAGCTACCGGGGCGGCACGGGGACAGGACAACCTTCCGGTAGAACATCTGCTCGGGGCTGAACGAGTAGGTCCCATACCCCCCAGGCCGCAAGAAACTATCAGGGAACGGCGGCCCGCGGCCGTACCGGATGGTCAGGAAGCGCAGTAGATGCACCGAGAAGGAGTCATTAGGCCACCTGTGATCCAGAAAGACGCCCATGGTGGTGATGTGCGGGAGCTCTTGCTGCTCACCGGTGGCGGGGTTGACGAGGTAGATCTGGCCCAGGTCGTCGGCCATGGCGAGCCACCCGCGGGAGGAGCCGAGGACAACGAAGTGGCCGCGCAAAGCAGGGTCCGGCGCGCGCACGGTGGTGGCCCGCCGGTCGGCGACGGAGAAAAGCTCGGCGGTCTCCGTGGTCTTGCCGGGGAGGAGGAGCCACGGAGCGGACGGCTTGAATAGGTCTCCGTCGCAGGACGCTGCGAAGACCGCAGCGAAGGCGATGCGGTCGATCAGCCCCAGGCGGTCGTGGATGCTGGCCAGCAACTCCGGGAGGAGGATGGGGCAGCACCTGGGGCCGACGGCTTCATTGGCGGCGGCGGCGTTCTTCCTTGGCATGCTGGCACGTACTTTCTCTCCCACAGATCGATCGGGTCACGAGGGGATCGATCCAGTGTTAAGGACGGCGATCGTGTGGGGATTTCTGCCAATTCGAGCTAGGGTTAAGATACGGTCCTTGCGTTGCGTCTCTCTCACAATTTATCACTACTTCGGAATAGGGCAACGCTGGGCGCCGGTGCGCCGGCCCAACTTTGGGCCGGTCAGCCCCTAGCCGTTAGATGTATTTCACGTGAGCCGTCTGATCTTTATCTTCCTCCCATCCAATCGTCTTCTACCTTCGTTCAAATACAGAGAGACACAATGCGTTGATTTTGAGCCGCCGCCGGCTGCCCCCGCTCGGCTGTGCTATAGGTGGCTCGCCGTCCGTGTCCTGCGACTCAAGGCGCTTCGCCGCGCTCCCGCGGTTGCAGCACCCCGACCAGGCCGCACCCTCGCAGTGCATCATTCCGCCGCCCCGAGGTTGTAGCTCGCTGCGGCCGCCATTGTTGCTCCATCCCGACCTGTTGGCTACAGCTCTCCCCATGCTGATTGCAACACCGCGCCGCCCGTCCCGTACACACAAGATTTTCGTTGTTCGTAGTACCTCCAGCAACCTCGCCATGCTTGTCAGTTTGCTTGTAGCACCATGGCAGCTATGAAAATGGGTTGTAGCAAATTACAACGCCGGTTGTAGCAAAAAATGAAGACATTTGAAGCAAAACGTTGTCAATGTCATCGTGGGTCGCAACTAAGACATCAATGTTGAAGCTTTTTCCATTGCCGGATGTAGCTTTTGTCACAGCCGGTTGCAGCTTTTCATAGTAGTCCATAGCTTCTGTCATCTATAGTTGAAACTTTTTCCATCGCTTGTTGAAGCTTTTTTCTTCACTAGATGAAGCTTTTTTGTCACCGGTTGTAACTTTTCTTCCTCGCCCATAGCTTCCGTCGTATATGGGTTGAAGCTTTTTTCATAGCGGGTTGAAGCGTTTGTCGTCACTGGTTGTAGCTTTTTTGGGCACCGGTTGTAGCACCGTGCATCTCTCTGATTCCAGCACACAAAAATTGGCTTCGCCGTCGCCGTCCCGCAGCAGCCCCAATGGCCACCAGCGCCTCCGCCTGCAGCACCAACTCGAGGGCCTCCCGTGATGCAGCACCACCTGCGGAACCATGCAGCATCCGCTGGTGCGAGGGAGAGCAAGTGACATCATCTCTCCACGACGGCGATGAGCAGCTTGGCTGGGAGACAAGATGATCGTAGAAGCACAGGGGGAAGAAAGTTGCTCGCAACATCTGGTGGGCGTCCTCAACGACGGCGGCCGGTGGGCACCCTCCATGAATGAGAGAGGGAGAGGGGAAGGAGGAGGTCGCTCAGGGGAGAGAAGAAATCTCGCGTGTGGCCAGAAACTCCTGCAAGGGGATAAGGATGTGAGACGTGATGCGAGCCACTTGATCTAGTCGCATCAGATGGCGCAGGATGGACCGGCAGAGCGTTCGGCCGGTGCGCCGACGGAAAACGTTTCCCTTCGAAATATATGTCTCGATCTGAGTTCGAATAGTTAACAGCAAGTGTCTTGTTGCCGAGGTTGTACTTGAGGCTCGGACAAAACCACCATTTTGAGGGCTAGGGTTTCAAAAAACGCTAGGTTATAATCTTGACAAATTGCACCATGTCTTGTGCAATCTTTTTGCAAAAATCACTGATTGGTGGATCTGGCTCGGTTAAGTTTGTATATGACAAATGGGGCTCCTATTTCGCTGATGTGGCATATCATTTTACCAAAGACAACATTAGATGGGTAAAAAAGCAAAAACACCCCAACACTTTTGTCAAAAAGCGAAAAGACCCTCCTTGATTCAGATCGGGATCTGTCTCTCCCTCGCACCATCGTCGTCCTCCTTCCAGCTCCTTGGATGCGTGCCGCTGCTCGCGCCCACGCGCGGCCGGCGCGGCTGCTGCAGCTCGCGGCCGGTGCCGCTGCTCGCCACCATGAGTGGCATGCACGACTGCTGCTACTCGCTGCCGGTGCGGCTGCTCGTGCCCACGGGCGGCCTATGCGGCTACTGCCGCTCGCGTCTGGCGCCGCCGCTGCTGCTCGCGTCCGACGCGGCAGCGGTTACTCTCGTCCATCGTCGCTACGGTTGCTTGCGTCCGGCGCCGCCGCCGCTGCTCGCGTCTGACGCGACGGCTGCTACTCTCGTCCAACGTCGCTATGGTTGCTCGCGTCCGGCGCCGCCGCGGCTGCTGCTCGCGTCTGGCGTCGTTGCTGCGCACTCCCGTCGCCGCTGTTGCATATGGTGCGTGGGTAGGGTGGCGCACGACAGAGCTTCGTCGCCTTCCGGTGTCGTGCCCCACATGGCCAAGCTGCCACGCGACTGCCGCTCTACTCCGCCGGTGCGATCGCCGCTTTGCTCGCTCGGCGCCGCCGCGCTCCGCGGAGGGAGGAGAGAGGAGTCTGCGCTCCGCGGCCACCGAGGACGGAGAAGGAGAGAGGAGGCTGCGGCATCTCAGGCGAGGGAGTGACTGCCCGGCCTCCTGTGCATCGGCGCCAAGCGGAGGATCTGGCGGCGAAGGGAGAGATGGGGATCAAAGGGAGAGAAGGGATTGAAGGGAGTGGGGGCTTTTTTTTTCTTTTTGATTCAAGGGCGTCTGTGTAAATTGTAAGGACTTGTTTGTAAATTTAAATTAAAATTGATTTGGCACAAAATGTTATGCCATGTAGGCAAAAAAAGGCCCCACCTGTCATAAGCGTGCTCAATCGAGGGTTATCCGCCGATCAGTGGTTTTTGCAAAATGTTTACGAGAGACATGGTACAATTTGTCAAGAAACTGTAACCTAGTGTTTTTTGAAAACATAGCCCTTAAAGTGGTGGTTTTGTGCAATTTACTCTTCAGTGAGTGACCAAGATAAACACAAAGCCTGTGTGATGCAAAGAATCCATCGAAGATCCAACATTGCGTTTGGTTCCCTGGTTTGCTTCATCACTTCCACCAAGTCCTGGTCTGCAAGCACGTAAAAAAAAGTCCGGGTCTGCAAGAGCCCACACACACTCAGACATGGTGCATCCATCGTAAAAATTTTTAAATAATATATTTTTTATTAATTTTCAGAAATAATACACGGTTTAGATATTTTTGACAGATAATACGGCGTCATCTTTACGAAGGACGACTGGATCTAATGGTCTTACTTGTAGATGATTAGTGTCCAGTCGGCTCACAGCAGGCCGACTAAGCAGTCGTCCGAAGGGGGGCCTCCAGTCGTCCTCCTTGTAGACGATTAGTTCCAGTCGTCTTCCGTGAAGAGGATTTGAACTAATCATCTTCCTCATGGGTAATTAGTTCCAGTCGGCTTACCCTAACACGACAGCTGCATGAAACCAAACTTATGAGCTAATGAAACTGTATTTCGGCCCATAATTGTATCTCATCACCTTCGCTCGAGCCTGGCCTAGTTGTCCATAACACTTTTTCATAACCGTGTTCCCAGGAACGCTTTCCCGCCAAACCTGTCTTTCCCGCCAACATGCCTTTCCCGCTAAACATGCCTTTCCCGCCATCTTATTTCCCGCCAAACCTGCCTTTCCCGCGAACCCTTCTGTTCCCGCCATCGTCATTTCCGCCAACCCTTATGTTCCCGCCAACTTCTTTCCCGCTAGCCCTTCTGTTACCGCCATCTTCTTTCCCGCCAATCCTTCTGTTCCCGCCATCTTTTTTGCTGCCATAATTCTCTTTTCGACCTAT